TATATATATATAAAGTACATATTTGCTAAAAGAAGCCCTTCTTTCTCTAATAGTGCCACTCTGATCCATCCATCGAAAGCAGATTAGCGCACCATCTTCTGGTTCGCAGCAGGGCGTCTCAATGGACATGGCATTTCATCAAACAGGCGGTACCGTCGCCGCCTGCTGCATTTCTCCTGCTGCGGCCGACACCTGGTTTCTCCCCTCACCGAAAGCCTCCCTCGCTCTCCATATCCATCTCGCTGCCGCTTCCCCATATTCATACAGATGCAGCACAATGTGTACCCCTATCCCCGCAATTATTCCATTCGAGATCGAAAATGTCAGCGGCATCAATATCATCGTCAGAAAAGCCGGCACCGCCTCCTTTGCCTCCCCCCACTCAATCTCCTTAATCAACTTCATCATCATCATCCCCACCATCACCAGCGCTGGCCCCACTGCCCAACTCGGCACACTCATCAATACCGGCCCAAAAAATATCGCCATCACAAAACACGCCGCGGTCGTCACCGCTGTCAAACCACTTCTCCCTCCTTCCTTTATACCTGCCGTCGACTCTATGTACGTGGTAACCGTCGTCGTCCCCAACGCCGCTGCCACGATCGTGGAGCCGCCGTCTACCAAAAATGCCCAATACTCCCCTTCGAATCCCCCATTTTCGTCCGTGAACCCCGCGTACTCCGCCATCGAGTACATCGACCCTGTTGTGTCGAGAATGTCCACGTACAGAAGGGTAAGCAGCGGGACCCAAGCTGCCCGCTTTTTCAGCCCGGTGAAATCCACCATCCCAGCAGTGTGCTTTATTTTATGCAAGTCGACCATACGGCGGAAGTAGGCGTAGGTCACATCTCCGACGGGGGTGCGAGGGAAAATCGTGACTTGGGTCCCGCGAAACCATGAGACTACGGTCACGAATAAGATGCCGTAAATTATCCCACCTTTTACCCCACGTGCGAGGCAGAAGGCAGTGAGCACGAACCCGGCCGCACCGAGCCAGAAAGAGGGGCGCTCGAGCGCGCCAGCGGAGAGGGTCACAAGCGTCGATGTGCTCGGCCCTACGAGCCCGACGCCCTGGCCAGCTTGGAGGCCGGTGAAGGCGAGGAAAAGACCGATGCCTGCTGCGGAAGCCAGGCGGATACCTCGCGGTATCAGACGGGCTAGGCGGCCGCGGAGGCCTAGCGCGGAGATGGCGAGGAAGACCGCGCCTTCCAGCATGACTGCGGCGAGTGCTTCTCCGTAGGTAAGCGGGCCGGTGCCGTGAAAGCCCACCATATTGTAGGTGAAAAATGCGTTGGCGCCCATTCCGGTGGCGAGAGCGAAGGGGAGATTCGCAACGACACCCATAACAAGGGAACCAATAGCGGCGGCAGCAGCGGTCGCGACAACGAGGTCACCTTTGGTTTCCGCGAGGCAACGATCGTAGCCCGGGTTAGGCCGCAGTCGGCAATCCGGGTGGAACCCGGGGTGGGCGAGCTGGTCGGTTGTACAGTCGTGGACCGTGCACGGCCCGCCAGAGTCGACGAGGATAGAGGAGTTGACGGAGATGATGTAGGCCATGGTAAGGAAGGTGGCTAGGCCGGAGCGGAGCTCTTTGGTGAACGTCGTCTTTCTGGCATCGAGCTTGAAGTGGCAACCCAGTCGGCTTTTTGAGACAGTACAGTTCAGCCCGCCTTCCAGCCGCTGCCAAGCCTCCGCCACCCTCGAGCAAGTTCCCTTTCCCATTGCTCCTTCCTTACTCTCCTTATGACGTCTCTATTCTCTTCTGTTGAATCGTCTGCGGATAGATTTCCTTTAATATGTGCCTATATATACTTGGAAAAAAGTTTAAAAGCAAATGTACCTATGAATTTCTTGTATTAATTGCTTGGTCGGGTTCACAATAGCACCATAAATAATGCCTAGTATGGGAAAATTTATTGCCTGAGTCCAATTAGCGGAAGCCAAGTGGAATTGAGTCCTACTGCATATTAAAATTCAAAAAAACTAAATTAACGTGACCCCGCCCAAATTACCGCGGAATAAATTTAAAAGATTTTTTTTTTTCGTGGAACCCGGCCAGAATTTAGCCCGTCGGAATGCC